TCACTTAAGACTTTAGAGATTTGTTTATAATTTGCTTTAAAAATAAGTTTGAGATAACTTGGATATACCAGAATTAATTCAAATATTGTTCTCTATTTTAGGAAGCAGAAGGATCGTTCCTCATCAAAGCAAAACCAAAACAACCATTCTTGAAACGAGGAGAAGGTTTAGCTAGATTTACTAATGCTAAATCTAAGTCTCAGAAAGGGAGAGAAAGTAAACTAGTGACTAATCAGAACATTTTAGAGGACCAACCTGTGTTTAAAATGGATAGACAACAATTCCAGCGGAAAACTGCTCTTATAAATAAAGAACTGTGTACAGATAACCCTCCTGTTAAAAAGAACAGTAAAGGTAGGGCCAAGAGTGGTTTTGTCACACTCAGTCAGAAGCCGAAAGTGCTTAAGAGTAGTAACAGGAAAAGTCTTCCTCCATCAGGATTGAAAATACCTGGAGGGAAGAAATGTGATGGGCAATTTAGAGAACAGATCAAATTAAAAAAAAAAGTTGAGTCTAATAATAGAGATAATGTACCTGAGTGTGCAAAACCTTGTGATACTGGTTGCAAAGTCTGGAATAAGACACAGGGTAAAGATGGACTTCCTCTTTCGGCAGGACTGGTCAGCTGCATGTCTTCGAATAGCCCCAAAAATGAGACCTTGAAAAAGTCAGAATCTTCTCTTGACATTTCTCTTCAGAAAAAGTTAGAGACTTGGGAACGAGAAAAGGAAAAGGAAAATTTGGAATTAGATGAATTTTTGTTTTTGGAACGAGCTGCTGATGAAATATCATTTTCCAGTAATTCCTCATTTGTACTGAAGATCTTAGAGAGGGACCAGCAGATCTGCAAAGGTCACCGGCTGTCTTCTACCCCTGTCAAAGCTGTGCAGCCGGAGATGGTGACCCTGGATCCTGTTATCCAGTCTAACCACAGTGAGGCTCCAGACTGTACTGAACCTGAACATGAGGGTGAGTGTGAGGTCACACCCAACCAACCTGATTCAGTCTCCTCGCCTGAAGGATATAGGGAACAGTTGTGTAAAGTCAGTAGGAAAGCGTTCCAAATGAGCACTTCTGAAAATCAGACTCGGTGGAATGTAAGTGATGAGGAAGGTGTCACAGACAGTGACAGTAGCACTGACTCTGAGGAGCAACTTGATGTTACCATAAAACCATCAACTGAGGATAAAGAGAGGGGTTTTAGCAGCAGAGAGGACAGTCCACAAGTCTGTGATGGTAAGGGACCTTTTACGGACACTGGGACTCAAGAAGAAGATAAAAGGAGAGATGTTGATTTAGATCTGTCTGATAAAGATTACAGTAGCGATGAGTCTGTCATTATAGAAAGCTTGAAAAACAAAGTTTCTGAGTCCTCAAGAAGACCCTCATCCATAAGCATGAGTAAAATTGACTTTGATGATGAAAGAACTTGGACTGACCTTGAAGAGAATTCATTTAAACATGATGCTGTTCTTGGGAATGAGGCCTTTTATGGGACTCCTCAAACAGCCTACCCTAAGAGTGAAATATGTGTATCGGACAAAACGATCAAGAGGAAGGTTGCACCAGTTAAGAAGGGAGAAGACTTGAGCAAACCCGGTAGGAGCACAAGCCCTCCTCCTCCATCGGATCTCATGATGAAATTCTTTCCTGCTTTGAAACTGAAACCAAAACCAGATTCACACTTGGGAAATGAACCCAAGTTAAACCCAAGTCAAGACCAACCACTTGGTAAGTCAGCATTATAAAATAAATAGGTATCAGAATGTTATAAATTTCGGGGCGCCTGGGTGGCTCAGTCATTAAGCGTCTGCCTTCAGCTCAGGTCATGATCCCGGGGTCCTGGGATCGAGTCCCACATCGGGCTCCCTGCTCGGCGGGGGGCCTGCTTCTCCCTCTCCCACTCCCCCTGCTTGTGTTCCCTCTCTCGCTGTGTCTCTCTCTGTCAAATAAATAAATAAAAATCTTTAAAAAAAAAGAATGTTATAAATTTCACATTTACCTTATTAGTCTGATGTCAGAATGCTTAAAATCCTAACTTTTCTAGTTGCTCAGTAGAAGTCTAATTAGGTGATTTGTTAAAATTTGATTTATTTTGTGCGCCTAAATAATAGCCACTAGTATAAAAGATTTGGTTGCATTGTGATTTCAGATTTTTCAAATTTAAGCCTATGCCTTGTTCTCAAGGCTTTCAAATTAATTAATTTATTATAAAGTGAGATAACACTTTTGTAACCAGAGAGTACCCAATTTATGGTTTGTGTCACTGTGAGGTGAACCCCTTTGTGTATATACTTTTTAAAATGACTATGTTTTTACTTAATTTTTTTACTACCTCATGCACTAACTTGCTAAATAGGACCAAGAAGAAATACAGTAAAACTGAAGTTTCCTTTCTTCCCTGGAACCTGTGTGCCTAGTTCCCTTTCCTAGAGGAACCTACATTCCCATTTCATTTGTGTATTCTAAAAAGATTCTGTACATATGAAAGCATATGGGTGAGTGGGTATATCATCTTCTTTCTACACAAATGAAAACATGTTTTTTGTATACCATTCTTCACCTTTTTTTTTTTAAAGATTTTATTCATTTCATTTACTTGAGAGAGAGCACACATGAGCGGGTGGGGGGGAATATGGGAGGGAAGGGCAGAGGGAGAGGGAGAAGCAGACTCCCCGCTGAGCACAGAGCCCGCAGCCTGTGCTCGATCCCAGGACCCTGAGATCATGACCTGAGCTGAAGGCAGCCACTTAACCAACTGAGCCACTCAGGTGCACCCTCTTCACCTTGTTTATAATAAATTTTGAAGATTGTTCTTTTCCACATACACATCTGCCTATTCCATTTAATGGCTATATAGTACTCAGTTAATGTGATGGGCTCTTAAAATTCATATTGAAAAACTCCTTTCTCCTATATCATATTATAAACTCTGAATGCCTAGCAAAGCATAGGTGCTTTAAAATATAAATTATAACTTAAACTATTTAAAAATACTCTGACTTTAAAAGTAGTACTTTTTGCAGACAGTTTGGAAGCTTAAAAAGTATAGAATGAAAAATGTTTATAACTAAACTATCCAAAGGTAGGTGTGATACCATTTTGGGATATTTCCTTCCAGTCATTTTTCCTATGTATTTTTAATATAGTACAGTTATTTGTTAAAGCTTACCTTATCTTTTTTTTTTTTAAAGTCAGTTGTGAATTTTATTAAAAATAAGCACTATGTCTGGGTTTCATAAAATTTATACATGAATATGTACAGACACAAATAAAATAATATTAAAAATAAAAATCATACTTGCTTTCACGTGGCAGTGGTCCTGGCACCCCATATACATAATGCTAACTTTTCCTTTAAAGAAATTGCTTGGCCCAAGGATCTCAGAGATCACCGAACCACTAAGAAAAAGCTTACCTTATCTTTTTTGACCAAGTGTATAATACACATTGGCCGTATCTTTAAAACTCTTTGTGTATTTTTTAAAAAGATTTTATTTATTTGAGAGCGAGAGAGAGAGAGAGCGCATACCAGTGGAGGGAGAGGCAGAGGGAGAAGCAGGCTTCCTGCTGAGCTGGGAGCCGGAAGTGGGACTCGATCCCAGGACCCTGGGATCATAACCTAAGCCAAAGGCAGATGCTTAACCGACTGAGCCACCCAGGTGCCCTTCTTTGTGTATTTTAAAAATGGTTGCAGAACATTGTATGAATGCAGCATTATTTTATTCAGTAATTTCCCTAATGTTGGATACTTAAATTATTTTTCACTATTAGAAATAACACTGCAATGCATATTTTTATGCAAAAATCAGTTTTTCAGAAGGGTAATGGAAGGACAGAAGCATTGGCTATTTTACTCTTTTAAATAGCAAATTTGGTATGGAAAAAGTCAATTTATATTTCTGTGACTAGTGGGCATAAATTTTGATTTTGGTGTTGATTAGTGCTTTAGATGTCTTTATATATGTGTATATATTACTTATTCATGTTCTGAAGCTATTTATATATGTGTATATATTCATTCATTTTTAAAAGATTTATTTATTTTTAAAGATTTATTTATTTTAGAGAGAGCATGCAAGCATGTGCAAGTGGGGGGGAGGGGCAGAGAGAGGGAGAATCCTTGAGCAGACTCCTCGCTGAGTGGGGGGCCTGACGTGGGGCTTGATCCCAGGATCCCAAGATTATGACCTGAGCAGAAATCAAGAGTCAGCCACTCAACTGACTGAGCCACCCAGGAGCCCCTATTTATTTATTTGAGAGAGAGAGAGAGTGTGAGCACGTGAGCTTGGAGGGTGGGATAGAGAGGAGAGGGGGAGAAGCAGACTCCCTGCTGAGCATTGAGCCCAACACATGGCTCTCATGAACCTAAGATCATGACCTGAGCCGAAACCAAGAGTCAGTTGTTTAACCAACTGAGCCACCCAGGCATCCCTATATGTATATACTTAAATTGAAGTATAATTGGAGTATAATTGATGTACAACATCCTATTAGTTTCAGGTGTACATCATAGTGATTCAGTATTTTTATGCATTACAAAATGATCCCATGATAAATCTAGTTACCATCTGTTACCCTACAAAGTTCTTTCAATATTGGCTGTTATCAAAAAGACAAAAAATGTATGTATTAGTTTTTAAAAAAAGTATTTGAATTTCTTTTTATATGTAATGTTAATTCATTATCAGACTGATACTCTTGAGGTAGAATAATGTCTTTCTTAAATTTAGATTGGTTTCATCTGGAAAGTTAGGCCAAATATAATTTTTGTTGTTATTAGAAACATTTTAATAGTACCAATGTTTATAATATTTTTGGCTCTTAGTGTTAATAGCTAGCTAATGTTTTTTGCTGCTGAAGGCCTTTTGTGAAGTTCAATATTATGACCTATTTCATAGGTGACAGTGCTCGATCTCAGGTTTTGAGAGAGAAAGTTATTGAATTGGAAACAGAAATAGAAAAATTTAAAGCTGAGAACACATCTTTAACTAAACTTCGCATTGAACGGAAAAATGCCTTGGAAAAACTTAGGTAAGTTAGTATCTGTAAGTTGGGAAAAAATATAGTGATTCAGTTTTCAATTAGCAATAATCGCGCCTCGGATAAACCTCATTGGCTACGATACTGCCACTGCGCAAAGCTTAGTGATTCAGTTTTATCTTCAAGATTATACTATAAGATGAATAAGATCTGCGGATCTAATGTATAACATGGTAATGATAATTGATAACAGTGTATTTGTATAATTGCAATTTGCTAAGAATGTAGAACTTAAATGTTCTCGCCAAAAAAAAAAAAAAGGTAAATGTGAGGTGATGGGAGTGTTAATTAACTGAATGGGGAAATTCTTTCACAACACATCACATAAATGTTCCTTACTTGTTTTTGTGTGTGTATATTTTAGTTGTATTATATGTTAGTTGGTTAAAATATAAATGCATATGAGGCAAAAAAAAAGATTATATATAAAATATTTGAAGTAATTTTTGTCAGTCTAACAAGATAAAGGAAAAGGAAGTGAAATCTTTCTTTTTTTTTGAAATCTTAACCACATAAAATTTTTTAATTAAAATGACCCATTATAGTCAGAAATGAGTTAAAAAGGGAATTCTCTTAGTGAGGAGATCATAAATTGAATTTTGAAGCTGTGAATTCAAGTGCTACCTTGGCCAGTGCATTAATTTTCTAGGGCTACTGTAACAAAGTACAGTTGATCCTGAACAATGGGGGGGTAGGGGCTCCATCCCCCTATACAGCCAAAAAGCCACATATAATTCTTGACTCCCTAAAAACTTAACTACTAATAGTGTACTGTTGCCTGGAAGTCTTACCGATAACAAACAGTTGATTAACACATGGTTTGTTACATGTGTAAGATAGGTAATTCTTATAATAAAGTAAGGTAGAGAAGAAATGTTAAGAAAGTCATAAGGAAGAGAAAATACATTTACAGTACTGTACTGTAAAAATTTGTATATAAGTGGATCCATGCAGTTCAAACCCCTGTTGTTCAAGGATCAACTGTACACACAAACTAAGTGGCTTAAAACAATAGGAATTTACTTCGTCATGGTTCTGGAGGCTAGAAGTCTGAAGTCAAGGCATCAGCAGAGCTATGCTTTCTATCCTATCTTATAGTGGTTGCTGTCAGTCCTTGACATTTCTTGGCTTACAGCTGGACATTGGGGTTGTTTCTACCTTTTGGTTATTGTGGATAATGCTATTAACATTGGTTTGTAAATATCTGTTCAGGTCTCTTCTTTTAGTTTGGGTATATACCTAGGGGTGGAATTGCTGGATCAAATGGCAATTCTATACTTAATTTTTTGAGGAACCACCATACTGATCCTGAGTGGCTGTACCAGTTTACATCACATTGATTGATTTGATATGTTGAGCCATCCTTCTCTTCCAGGGATGAATCCCAGTAGGTCATGGTGTAAATCTTTTTAATGTGCTGTTGGATTTGGTTTGCTAGTTAGTATTTATTGAGGATTTTTACATATGTGTTCATCAGGGATTGCCCTATGGTTTTCTTGTGGTGTCATTGTCTGGCTTTGGTGTCCAAGTGACTACCCTCATGAAATGAGTTTGGGAGTATTCCTTCTCTTTTTTGGAAGAGTTTAGGCAAGATGGGTATTAATTATTTTTTGAGTGTTTGCTGGAATTTACCTGTGAAGCCATCTGGTCCTGAACTATTCTTTCTTGAGAGGCTTTTAATTACTGATTCAGTTTCCTTATTTTTGGTCTGTTCAGGCTTTCTATTTCTTCTAGATTCAGTTTTGGTAGGTTGTATATTTCTAGGAATTTATCTGTTTCTTCTAGATTATCCAGTTTTGGGGATATAATTGCTCATAGTATGATCCTTTTTATTTCTGGGGCATCTATTGTAATGTGTCTTCTTTCATTTATGATTTTGAGTTTTCTCTCTTTCTTAGGTCTAGTAGGGGTTTGTTGATTTTGTTTTTTCCTTCTGAGACTTCCATAATGAATGTATTGGTTCTTTTGTAGTGTCCCATGGATCTCATGACTTTCTTCACTCTTGTTCATTCTTTTTCTTTTTTTTTTCTCTGACTAACCTCTAATTACCTTTGAGTCCACAGATTCTTTCTTATGCTTAAGTCTGTTGTTGAAGCTCTCTATTGTATTTTTTCACTTCATTCATTGTATTCTTCAGCTCCAGAATTTGTGGTTTTCAAGTTTTATTTATTTTTAAGTAATCTCTACATCCCACATGGGGCTCAAACTCATGAAACCTGAGATCAGGAGTCACATGCTTCACAGACTGAGCCAGCCAGGTGCCCCCCCCCCTTTTAAGTTTTATTTATTTAGTTTTTTTAAGTAATTGTTGGTGCTTTTTAAAAATGATTTCTATCTCTTTGTTGAACTTCTTGTTTTTTTTTTTCCATGTATTATTTTCCTGATTTTGTTGTTTATCTGTGTTCTCTTGTAGTTTGCTGAGCTGCTTTAAAACAGTTATTTTGAGGGGCGCCTGGGTGGCTCAGTCATTAAGCGTCTGCCTTCGGCTCAGGTCATGATCCTGGGGTCCTGGGATCGAGCACCCGCATCGGGCTCTCTGCTCCGCGGGAAGCCTGCTTCTCCCTCTCCTGCTCCCCCTGCTTGTGTTTGCTCTTTTGCTGTGTCTCTCTCTGTCAAATAAATAAATAAAATCTTAAAAAAAACACAAAACAGTTATTTTGATTGTCAGGCAATTCTTAGATCTGCATTTCTTTGGGCTTGGTCGCTGGAGCTTTATTAGTTTCCTTTGGTGGTGTCACATTTGCCTGATTCTTGTGTAGCCTTGTGTTGACATTTTTTCATTTGAAAGGGTAGAAAACTCTGTCTTTACAGACCAGTTTTGGCAGGTAAAGACCTTTTCCAAGTGGATCCCTGGACTGATGGCCTGATTCTAGGATCACAGTTGAATGGGATTGTAGTGTGGCTACTGCTGGGTCCACACTGGAGTCCATAATTGGTGGGTCTCTTCACAGGGGCATGGTGGATGTGGTTCCTACTAGATCCCCAGTTGAACAGGACTGCTTGTAGGACCACAGTCCAGCAGTGCTGGAGCTAGTCATGGGGCTGCTTCCAGGTCCACTGTTGAGTGTGCAGACAGTGGGTCTGTTACGAGGGGTGAGAATGGGTGTGGCTCCTGCCAGGTTTTTGAGTATCCTCCTGCTGGCCCCTTGGTGTCCTCCTGCTGGGTCCCTGCTCACCCGGGGATACAGCAGGGCTAGCGCCAGGTTACAGGACTGTTTCAGATTTCGTAGTCATGACTGAGGTCTGTGGGCCTGTTACCAGGGACACAGATGGGTGTGGCTCCCCCTGGGTCCTTTGGCAGATGGGCTTTGGGTTTCTCAACCTCCTACCTGGATGGTAGAGCTCCCACAAAAGTACTTTTATCTGTGTATGGCTTTCAGCTTCTTGTTTGTGTAGGGAGATGTGAGCTGGGGATTTCCTGTTCCACCATTTTGATATGTCATTCTCCCTGATCAACATTCTCCTAAGTTAAGACACCAAAGTCCTGACACTGGTCTATAAGACCCTAATGCATTTGTCCCTCTCTTTTGTTTGTGTGGTGTTTTTTGTATTTGTTTTTTTGACAGTTTTTCCTACTTTTCTGTTTCATGCTCACTGTTTTATCCACCCTGGCCTCCTAGCTGATCTTCGATCACATCAGGCATATTCCTACCTCAGGGCTTTTGCATGTGGTGCTCCCTCTTTTTTTTTTTTTTCCCAAAGATTTTATTTATTTATTTGAGACAGAGAGAATGAGAGAGAGCACATGAGAGGGGGGAGGGGCAGAGGGAGAAGCAGGCTCCCTGCCGAGCAGGGAGCCCGATGCGGGACTCGATCCCGGGACTCCAGGATCATGACCTGAGCCGAAGGCAGTCGCTTAAGCCACTGAGCCACCCAGGCGCCCCAAGTGCTCCCTCTTTCTGAGCTGTTTTGTCCAGATATTCTTATGGCTCTTCTCTCAGTTCCTTCAGGTTTTACTTAAAATACTATCTCAGCAAGATGACCCCATCCATAATTTCAATCTCCCTGATATTTCCTACCCTCATTCCTTGCATTATTTTTCTCCTTCTAATGTGCCATATATTTTATCTTGTTATTGTCTGTTTCTTCCATTAGATTGAGAAGCTCCAAGAAAGTAAGGATGTTTATTTTTTTCACTGTGGTTTCTCCAGTACCCAGGGTAGTGTGTAATTCATAGTAGATGCTCAATGAATATTTGTTGGAGGAATGCTTTATAGAGTTAACTGACAGTTTATTTCAGTACTATGGATTGAAGATGGATTCACCAAGACCAGCAGCTCCTCCATTCCAGGCTGTCACTGATGTTCCATTTTGTACCACATGTGGATTAGTCCATTAAGATGGTCCCTTTAAATGATAACATGGTTTGGTCATTTTAGGAAAGAAATTACAGACTTTGAACAACAGAAAGCAAAAGAATTGGCTCGAATAGAAGAGTTTAAAAAGGAGGAAATGAGGAAGCTACAAAAGGAACGCAAAGTTTTTGAAAAGTATACTGCAGTTGCAAGAACTTTTCCAGATAAAAAAGAACGTGAAGAAATACAGGTATGCCAGTTCGTTATGTTATACTTATGTAAGTTAGTAAGGATGACAATTTTGTAAGAATCTCAGAGTTATATGATGTGTCAAAGAGAAATGGGGTGTCAATTTTTTTAAACATTTTTTTAAAAAAATTATTTTTTTGAGAGCAGAGAGAGGGGCAGAGGGAGAGGAAGAAATTCCTTAAGTAGACTCCCTGCTGAGTGTGGAGCCCAACATGGGGCTCGATTTCAGGACCCTGAGAACGTGATCTGAGCTGAAGTCCAGAAGCAGATGCTTAACCAGCTGAGCCACCCAGGGGCCCCTGGGTATCAATTTATTAATCATCCATTGACTCAATAAGTAATCTGAGACTGCATGAGGAACATTTTTTGTAGTCTAAGTTTTAAAGAGTAAAATATATCAGTTCTTTTCTTACTAAAGGCTTCCAAAAAGAAAAAAAAAAAAAAGACTCCAGTAATGCCATGGATGAATTAATAAGCCAAGAGTTGGAAATTCACCAGCATCATGTTGTGTTGATCTGATTGACACCCCTTACACCAAATACTGTTACTTCTAGTCAT